GAAGGAAAACTACTGTAACCGCGTTCATACACACTCCCTAATATACCGAGTAGGCATTGGTTTTACAGCTGCCCCTGGCTTGCATTTTAAATTCCGTTTGGAAAAATATGAGTAGTTCATGATTCATCGAATGATAGGACAATTTGTGATTGATGAAATCGAAAGAACGTGGAGGGAAGCTCCCATAGCCCATGTGGGATTTGAGGTTCTGACACCTGTGTTTATGTAGAGTTCTGTCTCCTGTGATATAACACAGTGTAGTGCGTTGAAACTCAACCTACGTTTCGGTTGGTTTCTTGCCTGACTTATTGTTCGACTCTGAAGAGGGAGGCGACATGTTCCTCGGAAACGTCGATTGACTTTCAACGGATTACACTGCGTTATATCCCAGAAGACAGAACTCTGCCCATAGCCCATATCCGGCACATCAAAGCGTTTGTGATTTATGTTCTTCCCACTAAGTAAGAAACCACGTTTCACACCCATAACGTTATATGGCAGAAGTAAGGTAAAGTTGTCTCTGTGCTTAACTAATTAAGCACTACGCTATGAAGGCGTACGGGGGAGTGGGTGAACAGATCCGTATTTTCTTGACCTCGGCACTAGCTGGAGATGAGTGGTCAGCTTCACACCCAGGCCGCTTTACCCCCAGGGAAAGAGCCACCGGTGCCGATGTATAGGAGGTTGGGTGGACCCCAGAGCTGGTCTGGACGACGTGGAGAAGAGAAAATTCTTGACCCTACCGGAACTCGAACTCCGACCCTTTGGCCGTCCAGCCCGTAGCCAGTTGCTATACCGACTGCGCTATCCCAGCTTCTATGGCAGAAGTAGATCTATTTTTATGTACCTTTGTCTCCAGTCTTCTGCAGACGAGAGGACAATAAGAGGTTTTGTGCTGAATATTTAGAAGCATGTACATAATTCATTATTTTTCACAATTTCATTATGAACCTTCTGTTAAGGAGGATGAGATGGGAGGGTATGTAGCACGTACGGGATTCTGGTGTGGGAAAGCCAAAAGGAAAGAGAGCACTAGGAAGACCTAGACGAAGGCGGGAGGATAATATTGAAATGGATATGGACCATTGGAGAGCTGTTGTGAACACGTCAATGAACCACCGGGTTCCAGAAACTGTTGGGACTTAGCGGATTCTCAAGAAGGACTTAGCTGCATGTAGTTAATTGGCTGGTTATTAGTTCCACTGATGCCACTGACTGAATCTGTAGAAATAGAGGTTGTTTGACGGTATACAAAGATCATACCGGATGCATCACTGTAAATTACTATGAAGTTGCCAATAGTAGTTAAATTAGTTGCATAAAATACACTGTCACGCGTCATTCACGCATAATTGCTGTTGAAGATACTTTAGGTGAGAGCGGAAGTCTTAGTTAAAGGTTATCTCTGTAATAGTGTCGAAGTACTTTGTGTGGAAGATTTTTTTCCTTTGATGGCTGGCACGGACCTAGGTCGGTTGAAGGTCGACCACTATGTACCCTACCTCTGCCCTCCCAGTACCCACCTGTGAGAGATTTGGGCTTGGTCCTTGCTTTACCTGCGGCAAATTGGAACCTCCTGCCCATCTTATGTTGTTGCCCCCAAACACGGTGCTAGTACAGTCTGTGCATGTGCTTACGTTGGTAAGTTTTAATTCAGTGGCAGTTGTTCACCAAATTTAAAGTTCATAATTCTTAACATTGTGTGTGTGAGCCCCACATGCACTGGCTTTTATAAATACGGAATTCATACGTATACTGTATCAGCTGAAGATGTAATTTAGTATGGAATGATAAACTGTAATATTGTTGCAATTTGGGAGGCCTGTGGAATGAAGTAACCGCGATATATTTAATAGTGCTATCCCAGCAGTTTCTGGATGGGGTGGAATAAACCGTGAAAGAATCTCAGGATATCCCGTGCTGACTTTTCCCTCATGTTCACGTTTAGTCACGCGAGGAAATATACAGAATATGGGTGTATTTCCTCAACTCTAAGACATATCTCCCCCCCCCCACGCTTTTTAAATTTCTGATATTGGGGTGCATCTTGCATTGGTGGCGTCTAAGAATCAATGTTGGAAAATTATGATGTATTACCAAAGCGCAAGGAAAATCTTCATATCCGTAACGCTAATCCTGGGACACAAAAGGTAAAGTTGTCCCTTTGGTTCATTAATTAAGCACTACGCCATGAAGACGTATGGGGGAGTGGATGTATAGATCGACATTTCTGGACCTCGGCACTGGCTGGAGGTAAGTGGTCAGCTTCACGTCCCGGCCGCTTTACCCCCGATGAAAGAATCCTGTACCCACTGGATAGGAGGTTGACTAGTCCTGGGACATTAAACACAGAAGTAACAACAAAGGAGATTCTAAAAAGATTTTTATGTATTTCCATTATTGAAAAGTCTTTAGATGTGACAGTGTACAAAGCATCTGATGGAGGCTTGGAGGCCTAAAATACCAAATAGTTACATTAACTAATTCTCTGTGATGAAGAGATATCGGTCATCGTTCATTGTTACACCTATGCTCATTGCTGCCTCTTATAACCTGTCTTAAAAGTCAACACTCGGGAAGAGGAGAAGGATGGCTGTCGTTGGTAATGTTGAACATTCGGCTATCGTCTCATTTCGCTGCTGGATACGCTTACTGCTACATATAGATGCATTTTAATTGTTGCACGGAATTTCAAATCCAAAACTCCATAGGTAATTCACTCTGTACATTGTCTTCGGTACAGTTCCGTTACGACACGACATTAAAACAAAATTAAGGTTGCGTCTTACAAGGAAGAGTCAGTAAATACGTCACAAATTGAAGTAAGACAGCTGCAATGGACGTAATAGGTTTTCCATGTGTATCACTAGGTAGCAGCACAGTCCAGTTTCGTGACAGCCTAGGTAGCAAAAGCGCATGTTCATGCTCAGAGGAAGGTTTCAGTAGTCAAAATGGCGACCATGCTTGAGACGCATACTACCGAAGAGTAGAATTTTGTTGTGTTTTTTTTTTGGACTCAAAGCAATGGATATTCATAAAGAAATATTTCCTGTTTTCGGTGTGATGTGTTTGTCGCGTAAAGCGGTTCGCAACTAGGGTCGAGAAGTTCCCTCAAGGGCGTTTGAAGGTATCATATGATGTCGGACCGGGTCGCCTTGTTGAGATTGCGATAGAAGCAACTGTGTAGCGGGTAGAAGAGTTGATACGAACTTACAGGAGGATAACGATAGACGGTATGGAAACTGCACCAGGGTGCTTCCATTGTTTAGCATACAGCATAAATCATGATTGTTTGAAGTTTCGGAAAGTGTGCGCACTGTGGGTGTCCAGAGAATTGACGGATCGAAAAAATATCAAATGAACCGAATGATTCTGCCCTTGCAACATCTCTTATGGTATACAAAGGAAGGAGAAGATACTCCTATGATTAACAGGATTGTTACTGGGGACGAATCATGGATGCATCACTACAAACCCGAATCAAAGCGTGCTTCAATGGAATGGAAACATCACAGTTCACCTTCAGCTAAAAAACTCAAAGTTTAAGGTTATGCCATCAACTGGGAAGGTTATGCTTACCGTGTTTTTGGATTCTCGGGGAGAATTGTTAGCCCATTTTCAGAAGCTTGGTAAAAATGTGAATTCTGCATCATACAGTGAAGTTCTGTTGAAGCTTAGGGATGCAACTCGCAGAAAACGTCAGGCCAACTGGCAAGAGGGGTACTGCTTTATCATGACGTTGCCGGACCCATATAGCCCGAGAAACCCAGGAGAGAATTCAAGAACTGCAGTGGGAACTTCTTCAACATCCATCTTAGAGCCCGTACTTGGCCCCTAGTGACTTCCTTCTGTTTGGACCGCTAGAAGACCACCTTGGTTTCAAACGTTTCCCTGATGTTGAAGTTGAAACGGAGTTGCAGAAGTACCAGAGACAACAGTCAAAAGACTTATTTGCTGCGTGTTTCAGGGCACTGGTAAAGTGATGGGGCAAATGTATCGATTTTGGTGGAGGATATTGTCGAGAAATAAATGTTTTTTTTCGGGTTCGAATATTACATGTTTCACATTTTATACTTTCCCTCTTACAATCGATGTCTTAGGATCCGAAAAATACGGTAATTCCAACAGTTAAAATAATATATCCATCTACTTGAGTACATTAGGGCGATCCATAAAGTGTTTTTGAATGCCTTAAACCCAAGTTTCTGAGCAAATTTTCTGCTTCCCATGGAGGCTGGGGGTGATATCCTAGCAGCATCCATGATGGTTAACATCTGTGGTGGTGTAAACCATATGTGTATACCAAGTTTCATGACCATCAGTCCGGGCATTCAAGTAATGTTAAGGTTATTAACTCAACAGTTTGAGAGGCTGCAGTGTGGGTACTACTGATTGGAGGAATTTATGAAGTTCGCCATTGATATGGCCTCAGGTGTCACGATGTATTTGTACATATGAATGATTGGTTCAGGCATTCAAGTAACGTTATTTCCTGATAATTTGAGAGCTTCAGTGTCAGCATTACTGATTGGGAGGATTTATGAAGTATGCCTTTGAGATGGCCTCAAGTGGCATGATATGCATAGTAAGTTCCATAAAAATTGGATTGGACATTCATTAACTGTTAAGGGTAGAGATACACATACAAACACCCACACAACACAGCAAGATGACCTCATAAGTCTACTGTAATTTTTTCAAAATATGGAAAGTAGGCTGAAAGGGACATCATACATTTGGCTGTTTATTAAATAGCTTAGCCTTTCTTATTGGTGTTTGCTTTAGTATATTGAATAATATGAGGATTTGCATGATCAAAATGTCACAACAGAACTGCAAAACAATTGTATTTAATAAAAAATAGTGAACACTGTGACATATCACAGAATAGTTTTGTGTTCCAGTTACAATCTTCACAGAAGTGTGAAGCACAATTAGTATCTAGAATGCTATTTTTATGCACCATGTAGCCTCATTAGAATTGTTTCTTTTTGTTCCAGATGATGAAAGGAATTATGCTACAAAGGAACTGCCAACGGCAAGGTGGCGACGTGAACGTAGATGCAGGGACAGGCTTGGTGATTACACAAAATTGCAACAGAACAAGACTACCAATGTCAGGTACTGTGTAAATCCTTATCATTTTTACAGTACATAAAATGAAATTTCCAGATCCAAGACCAGTTTAAGTAGGCCATATAGAGCTCCCAAGATCCCATGCCTAATTGTCTGTAATTGTATTCACCATACAGTGAGGATAATTCACATATGAGTTGCCTGATAATAAAATCTGTATAGTGACATAAAATCAGTATATTCCTACATTTCTATATGTTCTTTGCACAAATATATAAAATGAACACACAGTGGCCTGGTTATGTTTGCCTGTGTACATGTTCCCATCTCTAAAATAGTTGGGCACATTTAAATTAAGTTATCTGTACTAAAGGCTGAGAGATGAATTTAATTTTTGTGAGTGCTGAACACTGATTTAACTTGAAGCACTCTTCATACTTTCTTGAATTTTTAAGTTGCTCACTGTACAAAAAATTAGTACATATATATGACATAAACTGTAAATCTCATTAAGCTCTATAACTTTTATTTGAAGCATTTTTCAGTGAGGTACAAATTTAATGGAATATAATGAAATTGTATATGACTGTGCATTGGCATATCTGTGGCTCTGTTGTCTTCCCAACGGTAGATTTATATTTGCAATAAATAAATATGCAGCCAGTGATTATGTGAAATACAAATAAAACGTTTCAAGAATACAATGTTATTAATCCTGTTCATAAAATATGATATTAGAAGTATAGTACTTTTTGACAGACAAACGTTGAAAGTGAAAGGGATGCTTCAGAAATATTCTTGATATTATGTTTTGTATTTTGTTTCACAAGTCATAAAATGATTAATTTCTCATAACTGTAGCGTGATTAAATCATTATTGATTTTTTTTTCTTGGCACTACAGCCCCAGTGGGGCTAGGCCTACCTCCATGAACTTCTCTGTTCACTTCGGTTTTTCTAGATCATACACATTCGGTAGGACTCCTTGGGCGGGTGATCAGCTCATCGCAAGGCCTCTACCTGTACACAAACACAGAAAAATGTACACACACACAAACTAAACATCTGTGCCCTGAGTGGGACAGTATTGATTTACCCCTCATAATTTCTTAATGCAATGTACTTTTGTTTTTAAAACACATTTTTTGGCCGTTCAAGATACCATTGTTTAAATAAAATTAGATGACCAGTGTTGGTCGAAATATATAGTGTGCATACACCAGTGATGCAGAAGAGATTTTAACATTTGAAACATTAATAAAGGTTTTAAAAATCATGTTGCATGTGAGGCAGATAATAACTAACGGAAATAAATAAGTGATGTGCAACAGAATACTAGGATACAATATGCTGCTGCGATGCTGCTGATGATATTTTTCAAGTACTTACATATTGATCATGTTCATAAAACTATTGTGATCATTGTGTCAGCATATTCTGGAAGTTAAGAAGTTATCCACTTTGCTTACTACTACGTATACCCAAGCTTTGCTGTTTGGAGTATGTAGGATGTAGGACAGTGAAGCTTTAAGAGGGCTCTCTTCAGTTAGAAGGGGAGTGTTGTGTAATATTCATAATGAATCTAGTATACCCATTTAATTATTTAGGCTGATTAAATTGTGTTGAAATGAAAGCTATAATGAAGTCCATATACTTAAACATTTGTCTGATATATTTCCTATTCAGAACGGTTTATTCCATTTGCTTTTCAACTTGACTTTAGAATATGCCATTAGGAAGGCCCTGAAAAACCAGATTGGATTGGAATTGAATGGGACACAGCAGCTGCTTTACTGTGCTGATAATGTTAATTTATTGAGCAAGTAAACACAAGGAAGAATTAGTATATGTTGATTTCTCATCACCAGAATATAGGAAGAAAACGTTACATAAAGATAGCTTATAGATCATTTGAAAATGTGAAAAAATTCAAATATTTTGGACTATAATTACATTCATGAAGATTGTAAGAGGGATTCAATTCGGAGAATGCTTGCTACTGTTCAGTTAAGAATTTTCTGTCTTTCTGTCTGCTGTCAAAAAGTGTAAAGATTGTGTATACAGCATTAAATATAGCTGTGTGTTTGTATGGGTTTGAAACCTGATCTCTGAGGATATTTGAAAACATGGTGTTTAAGGGAATATTTAGACCTGAAGGATAGGAGGCTGGAGAAAATGGCATAATGAGGAGCTTCATAATTTGAACTGCTTACAAGGTATAGTTAGAATGTTGAATTCAAGGAAGATGAGGTGAGTGGAACATGTAGCACTTACGGGTGAGAGGAAAAGTTTATTGATCAAAGACATGAAAGGAAAATACCGCTTCTACGATCTATGCACAAATTATAGGATAATATTAAAATGAATCTGAGTGAAATGAGGTTGGAAGATGTAGTCTGAATTATTTGGCTGAGGATATAAACAGGTGGCAGGCTCTTGTGAACATGGTGCTGAACCTTCAAGTTCTACGAAATTTGGATAATTTCTTGATCAGCTGAGCAGCTGTCAGCTTCTCAAGAAGTCTGTGCTCAGTGGAGATGTTTTCCTAGTCATTTATTAAAACGATAAATTTCGCTGCAGGTTCACAACAATTTAACCTGTAATTTTGTTGTTTTACTCCAGTTAAATTAGGGCTATATTTAAGAATTGTAGGCATATATTCATTAGAAATATGTGTAGTTGATTATAAGATGATGTGCTTTTTAATTATAAATAATATATCTATGATTCATAATTTACCCATTGCCCAGTTATGGTTGTGTCATTTCTTATTGTGCTGTAACTGAAAGTGATCCTGAAATTTAAAGGTAGAATTGTCCCTGTGCTTTATTAAGTCTCACTCCAGGAAGAGGTGTATGGGAGAAGTATAGCTCCACATATTCAAATTTCATCACAAGATGGAAGTAAGTAGTTAGCTGGAGAAACAGTGCCATGTAGCCTGCCCATTGGAAAAAAGCCTCAATAAACTGGTGCTGGATTCCATGCTTTGCTGAGTTTGGGCAATGTGAATAAAGAGGAAGAGTTCAAACTCAGCAAAGCATGGAATGCCAACACCAGTTCCTTAAGGCATTCCAACACACGTAATCACAAAAATTCCAAGAAGACAGAGAAAAAGAAAGAAAACAAAATAGTCTGACAACAAGGACATGAGATTAAGCAACATGGTAAAAGGTTAGAGTCAGATGGGTGACCACAGAGTTTGACTCTTCCCTTCTACTACATAATACACCAATAGGAAGAAGCAGCGATTTGACAAACCAGTAGAAATATCAGTGACATACATTTGTAACCGCTCCACTGTCACTCACTAATTTAAGTGTAATTAGAATGATCAGTAATAAAAATTAAGTGCAGGTAACAAGTAATACCAAAGCCAGTGGGACATAGTCACATTCTTGTTTTCAGGACTGGACGTATTCCAAATCTTGATGTTACACAGGAAGCACCCCCTGTGGCTTTTTCCGAGAAATTTTGTTTGCGAGTAGCACGGCGGCAAACTTTGAGAATTCGATCACTGACAGGTCCTGCATGTCGTAACTTAAAAGTAGGCAGTTTTGAAACCCACGCCAAGCAGGTTATCTGTCAATGTACTGTCAAAAACGACATTAGGACTTTAAAGTTCAAAGCCCAAAATTGCAGCCAGCTGACTGGAGATCCAGAAATTGTGTAAACCCCAGTTCTCAAAATTACCCAATCAGTGGAATTAAGGGGGAGTGACTTAGCAGAGGAACTGATGTCCAGGGGATCTCAGTGTTTTCAGACAAAGAGTCACAAGTTAGTTGACAAACAGTTGCCAAACAGTCACCAAGTGCCTGCTACTCGTAAATAATTCGGAAACAAAATCTGTGTTTTTCGCTGTTCTGTATAACCTCAAGTTCAAAGTGCTAAAGAAAGTGTAAATTGTAATAATAACGTCCGTTATACCAGGACTGTGGTAGATAAGGGCCTGTATATAAGAATCGTTTGTATTGACTGTGTGTCATCAAGTGAAGTGAAGTGTTGATCTCAATAAATGGTCACATTGTTTAAGTGCAAAGTAGCATTGAACCAATTGCTTCCCTCCCCGTCCTAAGCGAGGCCCTAGCAAACGCCCTGAGAAGGATCCCAGCTCTACCCACAGCTGAACTAGTTGACTATCACCTTTACCCCCTTTCCAAAATAAACCTCCGACTATTGTAAGCCGACACCACCTGAGCTTACTGGCGCCCAACCTAAGAAGAAGAAGAAGAAGAAGAAGAAAGAAGGAGAAGGTCGATGAACAACGCGCGACTAACCAACCGAGGGGGGAAGTGAAGGTGAGGTAAGAACGGTTACAGAGTGAAGAGGTGGAGCCCAACGTAAGGGCTGGACAGTTACAGAGAAAAGAAGGTGGAGCCCAACTTGTGGTGCTAAAAGTCTCACTGAGCGGTTAGACATTCTTTCACAACATCGACCCTAATGATGGAGGCCTAGGATATGTCTGAAATGATGGCTTTTACTTCAGCGCTGACAACTCATCTCTTGAGAGAATTTGGGCATATCGTGGATAGATTTCTAAAACACTGATAGTGAACAAATTTCGCTTGTTACAGCTCAACGTATGATACACCTACAACCCTTCCATTACCAGATGTGCTGGGGACTAGCACCCATTCTTCCACTACAGGTGACACTCCCCTGGATATGACAATGACTAGGGGCAGTAGACCTCCACCATCATATAGTCAGACATTAGCAAACCACCGAAATGCCCCTGCTCGTCCTTCAGTCATTACATGTGCACCACCTGCTTCATCATCGTGGGGAGATCGAACTTCAGATGTTAAAGGCTCGAATAAGGATGAAAATGGAAGACAGGGACACCGGCGTGAGTTGCTGTCAGGTGAGTTTCTACTCTACTGCATTGTGGAAACTGAAATAGGCTAACATGATTTTGTATATAGAAGGGGTGGTAATTCTGTCTTTCAGAGTTATTCAATTTCCAACTGGGCCTTGAAACTGTTCTGTTTTATTTTCATTCTACTAGTGTCTTGTAACTTTAGTGTGATAAAGTCTTTAATATTTTAAGAATCTGCATGAAAATTATGCAAAGAAGAATTATATTTTCATGTGTATTATTTAATATTCATTGTTGCATTATTCATACATTTCAGATCTGGAACTCATATTATAACAAAACTTTCAGTGTGTGTTTTGTCTAGCTTTGAGCAGTGTTACAGGGTGCTTTTAAATAATGATGGTTTGGATCGATACATGTATGTAAGATGAATTCACGAACACTTTTGCCATTTAGAATCAGTGACGCAATTTGTCTTTGTTCTCAGTAGACATCCATGACAATTTTACATGATGAATGTAAACATCTCTTGAGTTCTGAGTGAGATGGTTTAACGTTAAAATAAGTTAAGATTTTCATAATCTGTACTGCTGCCCCAGTACAAGTATTACTAGGGTGATTAAATGAAGTTGGAAAGGTAGTACATATAACAGTACATGTAAAGAAGATTGAAATAAACATATGTATCAAAGAGATACTCTATACAAATTGCCATTTATAGAAAGAAGAAATGTTTTAATTGCCGTGCTTCAAGATTTGCATCAAGGCCATTAGTGTATATAAAATCACAAAGAACACATTTGTAACGCATATGTACTCTAGACTGGAGTGTGCTTTTCCATTCTGATTATTGCAAACCATTTTTCTCTTTGGTCACTACCCAGGAGGTACAGAGTGTGACATATCATTGTCATATTTTAGGTATTTACATGTAATTTTTTATTTGTAATTATTTTCTTTACACTTGACAGATGATAAGTTGATTGATGAATGATGAAGTGGAAAGAATTTTTAAGGTAGCAGTCATACCTAATTGAGGTACTATCCTGAAATTTGTCTAAAGGGACTGAAGAAAACACATAAATCCTCAGGCAGGATAGCTGATGTCTGGGCCAGAAATCAAAACTGAGCGTCTCCAATATACAAATCTAGAATGACATGAGATCTTGACAATAAAGAGACTGTTTTGGATAGAAATCACTTGTATTTCATCACTAACTCCTAGTGGATGTAACTCATTCAGTTTGGTCACCTTCAAAATACCCTACCAGCTTTCTTTATGCGTAAAAGTTTTGTTTTTCAGGTATGTGTGATCCTGTTATTGATGAGCACTTCAGACGATCACTTGGCAAAGATTATATGAGCCTCTTTTCTTCAGACAGCAGTACAACAAACAACAGTAACAATAACAATAACAACAGCAATGGCAATAGTAGCATCACTGTTACTGGTCTCTCAGGTATAAAGAGTTCTGCTTCTTTTTATTGTGTTTACTTGCCTTATACTGCCACAGTCAATAAGTTCGTGGAATGGCTGCCAAGCATCGTACAGGAATTTACTGCCAGTATGTTTCAGCAATGTCTTCGACAGCTATATCGACATTGGAAGACTTGCATAGCAGCCAACGGCAACTATTTTGAGGGCTGATGTGGATCTGGATAAGCGTGTGTGAACACCTTGTAATATGATGCGAAAAAACCACATTCCACGAACTTAATGAGTCTACCACGTATACAGGGTCATTCACTTGATAGAGGCCCTGGATTAATAACTGTAAATCACACAGTAATTTACTGTTGAAAATGGAACTGGCACCACTATGTACTTTGAAACACTGAGCCAGTGCCTTTCTACCTGAATTATGCCATTCCCTCTTGTCTGTGATTCCATATGTGTGGCAAAATAAAATATATGACTGAGCAGCATGTTTTTCTCATATGCTTTTACTGGGTTTTGGGATCATTCATACAGTGTCAGGCAACTTTCAGAATCCATTTCCTTATTGTAACACCATCCAGCCAAAACTGGGAACTAAAGAACCGTCAAACTAAGCACAACCTTCATTGACCAGGATTATGTCGTAGGTTGTGTGGCATCAGCTCCTGTCCTCATCACAAAGTCATTACATCAGGTGTAGCAGGAGACTGACATCGTATTCACTGTGCAAGAAGTAGCAAAGAATGGAAGAACTCACCCATTCCATGATACTTTGGCCAGGAAATCCAACCTGCAGACATGCATAAAGGAACGGCCTATTGCCAATGATTTCAGACATTCAACATCTAAGACATAACATGTTTTTCTGTTATAGCCTTATTTTACCTGTTGGAACACATCAACTCACAGAATACATGTGTGGGCTGTTGCAAATCCTCGTTCCATTCACAAGGACTCCCTCTATCTACAGAAAGTGGGAGTGTGTTGCGCTCTTTCATGTACCTGCATAATTGGCCCCATTTTTCTTCCACACAACCATCAACACCAATGTCTGCCTTGACATTTTCCAAACGTCCTACCACTCAGTTACTTTCAACAAGATGAGACAATGTGTCACACATCCAAGCAGGCCTTGGTAGAATTCAAGAGTTTCTTAAGGCATAAGATTGTCTGAGAATGACTTCAGCCACTCCAGCCTCCAGACATCACGCTGCTGTGCCTCTTCTTGTGGAGTCTGCTAAAGGATAAAGTGTTCAAAAAGAACCCTCACACTGTTTACAACCTGAAAACAAACACTCTCTTGTACTTGCTGCCATGCTTCTTACATCATTCACAGACACAGAACACTTTGCCTGCCAGTGTCTCAGGTTACAAGTTTTGGTTTGATTGGTTAATTATTGCATGATTCATGATCAGTAATTTGGGGCCTCAGGAGAAGTTCCAAACAAAAACTTCAGCTCATCAAAGGAGGCAAGGTTAAACCTCAGATACTGTTTGCTGTTGTATAATGAATATACGTAAAAATATGTAAAATATATAGATCCACTTCTTGCTTGAATTTTCTCCCAAGAGTCTGACACTTATTGGCAGTAAATACTGGGTTCTTGCATGAGGATGATTGTGCATTTATAGAGTGAAATGGTCAATGGTATGCAGTTGAAAGTGAATCTGAGCTTTGACTGTTTTTTTTTTCCTTGGCACTACAGCCCCAGTGGGCCTAGGCCTACCTTCATGAACTTCTCCGTTCACTTCGGTTTGACTGTTTTACATTTATGTATTTCTTGAGCCCTGCCCCCAGCTTCCAGTAATGCTTCTAGGGAATGAGAGTGGACTGTAGAGTTTTGTAATGGTATTTTAAGATTTATTGTGATGTGATATTTTCTCACTATAGCCTCTTAAGAGTTTGAGGTCAGTTCCCCCCCCCCACTACAGTTTCACTGTACACCACTCCGCTGTCCTCTTCATGCATCTTGTACTGATTTTACTTCCGAGTCACAGCAATTTTGGCTTCATATCTAGGTCTCCACATGCAGCTGCTCTGTGGCTGCTTCTAAGATCACCATCAGACTAAGATTATCATCTCCTTGCCTTACAACCACAGTTTTATGCCCAGTGTCATTCTTGAAGTCTCTGTTGAGTTCTCTGTTTACCGCCTTGGCTTCCTACAAAGAGAAGAAATAAAAACGACATGTACTAATTTGGTTTAAAAATTGTAACAAAATATTCTTAAACATGTTAATTGTAATTTATAAATATTTTAACATATTAGTACAAGCCGCTGTAGTTGTTAAAAACATTCGACTTTGTACTCATTGTATTATGATAAAATTGTACGTAGACATGTATATTGATATTCAGAAAACATATTGTAATAGTGGTTTCTAATTGTATTGATATCCTTCTGAAGGTGGTCTGGTCTATAAGACCGAAACATGTTAAGGATAAAATATTGAACAGGAGAAGAAAGACTTCACCATTTACACTGGATGGAATTAATTAACCTTTTATAAGGTAAACATTTTTAGGAAGGATTTGAGGTTCTTACAGCCAGTGCTTATGAAGAGTTTTCTGTCTTCTGGGATATAACACTATGCAGTCCATTGAAAGTCAACCAACATTTATGAGGACCATGTCACCTTCACCTTCAGTGTTGAAGAATAAGCCAAGCAAGTAACCAGCGTGAAGCAGATAGCAGGCTTCTAAGATGAATGTGCTTCTGGTGTGAACATTATGGTTACTTTAACAGAGAAGACTTTGTTGCAGATACATTTCTGCAGTAATTCCCGTAAGCATGTTTATGTTATGTTATCTGCTAAAGTTGGCACTGACTTCGCTGGCAAGCGGCAGTCGCTCGGTCGGTATAGTTCGCTTGCGGACTAAAACCACAGAGTTTTTTTCGTTTATGATAGAAACTTAATTCATTTTATCTGTCTCAACTTATATTACACCTTGTGTAACGTTTCTGTTGCAGTTGATGATCACTTTGCTAAAGCTCTAGGCGAAACATGGATAAAATTACAAGGACAGACTTCAAGCTCTGCATCCTCAAACACATTAATCACAAAGGAAAAGAAATCCTCAGCAGCACCTTCAACTGCAACAGTGTCTGTGTCAGTTGCCAAGGAAACTGGTCCAAGCTCTGCTGCAACTCCTGCTGCATCACATCTCCAACAACGAAGAGGGCTTGTGTCAATATAACATACCAGTTTTCTGTCTCAGTGTATATAACAAAGTTGAATTCTTATAAGTGATTTGAATAATTTGCTGCTGAACTCAGTGACAGAGTGTAAGCAATTTCATTATTTAGTAAATACATTATATGCAATTACTGTGGCCCTGGATATTAGGATACACTGATATTTTATATGTCTGCATGTTTGCTTTTGCCAGGAGAATATTTAAAAGACTATGAAAATGTTTTAAAACATTGAATGGTGTTGGAGTTATTTGAAACTGATCAGAGTTCCTCAGACAGTATCGTGGAAGATAGAATTATGTATATAGTGGCTGTTGTGGTCAACAGAATTGTGGTTCATTGTCTCTTGATATAACAAACGGAACCACAATTTGTATTTTTCACAGCAGTGGGTGTTCAGGTGGTGGTCTCTATGGTTGTGATGCCTTATAATCTTGTAGGTGCATACCAGCATTTTGGATGAGCATGCTGCATCCGTTTTCATGGTCAAAATGAGTGGGTTGAGAATATGTTACCATATCCTCACCTCCCTCATCCTGAAGACAGAGGCAGCTTATTCCTCCAAAATATCTGTATCCACTTACAAGACTGCATGATGTCACAGCATAGGAGAACTTGCTGTGAATAAACAGAATAATTTTAACATCCAGTGAAATTGATATCTTTGCTTGATGTGGTGCCGAGGTCAAGAATGGTGGAACTATGCCTCCATTTCCCCATCTTCTTGGTATGTTGCTTAATCAATTAAGCACAGGGACTTCACCTTTTATCTGTTGTGGTAAAGAAACAGGTTGTTACAGCCATGGCTTCAGTTGTCATATTGTTATTTAATTAATTTTCTCACAAAAGGAAAGGCACTTTTTTTTTCTTTAATATTCGGATCCTTTGAACATGTTAACGTGCAGATTACAGTATGCCACCATGATTCATTTAGTTTTGTAATAATGAAATAATATAATGACATTAGCAGATTTCATTCATCGTACATTAGTGTCCATGGCTCTTCTCATTATTTATACTTCTAATTTCATTAGTCTGTTAATCCATGACTAAATCTGACACACAAGCACTAGGGAACCCTACTGGGAAATATCCCCTTGATTGGCCAGGAAGGAGATTAGTGGATATCATTAATATAGGTCATAGGAACAGAGGTTCTGAGGACGGGATAGTGAATGGAACTAGCTCAGGGTCATGTCGAATGGCAGACTCTGGTAATCAGCTCTATTCAAACTTCATATTCTGTTGTCATATTATATATGAATTTATGTTTAAACTCCAGTATTCAAACTGTGTTCCATGTCCATAAAAATATGTTTTCATACTTTCAGTGTTTGATTTGAGCATACAGAATATTGTGAGAGCCAGTATAGCTCAGCTGGCATGGCACTTAAGCTAGGGATCAATTCCTGGCAGGGGCAAGTGATTTTTCTCTTCTCTGCAGCATCCAGACTGGCTGCAGGGCCCAGCCAGTCTTCTATCTAGTGGATACTGGGTGGCAGGGAGGGTTAAATTTGACTACTCATTTCCACCTATTAATGAGGTTAAGAATACATGGCGCTATACCTCCATTCCTCCATATATAAACTTTATGTTTACTGTTTATGGAAATATTGATTTGATTTTCAGTTGGATGTTTCTTCTGTTCCATGTGGGACTATACTATAGGTTTGTTTTAACGGTGATTTCCCTTATTATTTCATTTTGCTGTGTACAGTACAGGTACACAGCTATGTCAGCACCGCTGAATAAATGTGCGTCATACTCCTATGTCAGTTCCATTTTATTTCCTGTTAATCCTTTGTCTATTAAATTTAAATCATTATATGTGATGTCATCCTAATTTTCTATGAGTATTTAAATTTTAAGTAAGATTTTACTACATTTTGCAGCATTAGGAGAGAATTTTAACCTTTAATTTTGCTGCATTCTACTATATTAGGAGGAATATAGTTTTTAAACCCACACTGTTTAGAGGAATTTATCTGGGAAGTTTTGTGTTTAATAAAACAAGTCAACCATATTGTATTTGTAGCCGAACCATAGTTTTTGTCACTTGATTTCTGCAAGACATAATTTATTTCATGCAAAAGCACAAAGCTGTCATGCACACATGTTAGAAATATAATATTATTTATGTTGTGCCAAAACAGTATTAACTGTTATTAAAGTAGTATAACTTAGCAATTAGTGTAAACTGTAGGACATAAATTGATATTAATGCTGTTGTGGTGGGAAAGTGTATCATATCTAGACAAATCAAAAATACCGCTGAACTACACTTTTGAATGTGACTGTGTTTAAGCATGTTTCAAATGACTGATGTAAGATGTTAACATTGAACCAAATTTTTGTTTTTTCAGATTTACAAAATTCCATCTGCTGGTATCATTTATTCAGATGACAATTTTTCATCTCATAATATTGTATGGAAGCCCTGTTCTGACTGCCTAAAAGATTGGTAACCTAATCATATTCATGTATAAATGTAAAAGTCGAGGGTTGACATAAGTGGTTATTCTGATTATTTTGTAATTTAGTGTAGATGACTTACATTATGACACTATATTCTGAATTCTTTTATTTAGGATTTCTTTGAGAATCAGAAATTGAGTTCACTCAGAAGAATATACCCTAGAGCAGAGCAGAATTAAAGTGAAGGAAATTGTAAAGGGAATAAGAAAGTGCCTTTGAAATATACAACCGAGAACTGCTTTGACTAGACTGTGTGCAATGGTAGGAGATGCAAGTGGCCAAGCCTGTCTTCATATGCAAATGCTTCTCTATATAAAATATTTTGGCTGAACTTTACTTCGTTTGATCTGTTATGCACTTATATGATGATGAAGTTAGTGAAAGCGTCTGAAGCAGAAACTTGGACCCCAGTAAAGAGTTTGGTCTAGAAGTAAACGCTCACAAAACCAAGTATATGTTGCTGTCTCATCACGAGAATGCAGGACAAAATCATGACATAAAGATAACAAACAGATACCTTAAAAATGTGGCACAGTTCAAATATTTAGGAATGACAGTAGCAAATCAAAATTTGATTCAGGGGGAAATTATCATAAACTATAAAGAGCAAGGTGCTGTCCACTACATGACTGCAGAATATATATTATATCAAGGGAGAAAGAAAGAGATCTTGCCAAAGTAAAGAATCAATAGATACATGGGTAGATATTTTGTCTAGTCTTGACATCTGGTTCCCTGCTCATCATCTTTGCTCTCATAAATGCTCTTCCTATCCCATGTAATTTCAACATTTTGTTTAGGATGGATTTATGCTAATAGTGCATATGCATTAAAGCAAAAAGTAAGGCCCATAGGGTTGTGAGACATTGATGGTCCCACATTATCTAGACAATCGGCTCAAAGATGGCGGTAAGATTGTCAGCCTTAAGCGCCGGCCGCGCTTTACTCCCCAGGAAAATTATTTAATTAATTCCTGGTACTTATTTCTGTTAGAGGCTGAGTCGACCCCAGGGCCATAGTGCGGCTCGAAGGATTAGGTCAATTGAAAAAAATCCAGTGACCTCGTTGGGACTTGAACCCATGACCTTCTGGCTTGTAGCATAGCCTCTCAACCAACTACGCTACCACTTGCCCCCAGTGAATTTGCAGTATGAAGAATATTCAATAGAAAATTGCGTTCAGTAGTTGGTACATGAAGTGTTTTATTGGGCTTTCTGTGCAAATGTGAAACTTGCATACTTATAACCTGAGGTTCCCATTCCCATGATTATGATTATTTGTAGACTGTATTCTGTTGGATTTGAGGTTCTCGCAGTGGTGGCTTTGAAGAGTTTCTCTCTTCTGTGATAAAGCACCATGTAGTCTGGTGAAAGTCAACCATTGTTTTAGAGCAACATATCACCATTATCTTCAGGGCTGAACAGTAAGTCTAGCAGGAAACCAGCATGAAGCAGGCAAAAAGCAGAGGACTCTGCATGTTGTCTGTTTCATGCTGGTTTCTAGCTTGGCTTGCTCTTAGGCCCTGAAGGTGGAGGCAATACATTCCTCCAAAGCACTGAATTACTTTCGCCAAACTAAAGGATGTATGTCCAAGAAGACAACTTCTCAACGTGTATTCTACATATATAATCCACTTGGAAGACCTAGAAGAAGGGAGAATAACATTAAGATGGATGTTAGTGGCACAGCAGTATGCATTGGTATTAACAGTGCTGAATCTAAGGGTTCTGCTATCACAGTGTCTTTTAGTTAATTATGTTCCTTATAGAAGATTAATGACTATTTTATCAAATTTTGATTTTGACATTTTTGAGCATTTCTGTTATGTAGAAAAGAATAGCTTGTAAACTATGTCTCTTATGTTTGGAATGCGTTATGGTAACGCCTCACAGGTACTGCCATTACCACATTAATTACAATACACATTCATGATATTATATATTGAGAATGATGTCTAACTCATTATTATTCATATCAGTCTAAAATCAACTGTTCTCACAAATTTAGCGCAATGTTTCACACTGCTCCCTCCTTAAGGCTGTTCGTCCCGGATAGCCTAATGGTGCACCCCCGTTCCTTTTCTTCCAAGGATGTGCTTTCTGCGTCTCCTGTCATTTCAGCTACTCCTTGTAGGGACTATTCTCCAGCCGTTATGTCTGCTCCCTTCTTAAGACCAGCTCGTCTCGAGTGGTTTCCTGTTAACTTGCCACAAGATCCCGTTGTTTCACATTCATTCCTTCACTTTCTCCCATGGCACATTCACTCTCTCTGGGGAGGCCGGTTCTTCTAGTTTACTGGCTCCTCTTCTGTGCTCTGCTTCTTTTTCTTTTTGGAGGGGGTCGACCCCTCCACAATGTCCAGTCCTTGATCAAGTCTTTCTTCGGAAGTTCCTTATGTCAACGTAACAGCCCTTGATGCTTTGTTTGCACTTTCTGACGTCGTTCCTCCTGGTCTTCCCGCCACTTGCTGGCATGAGACCATGGCGCCAAGTCCTTTCTCCGGCATCCGAAGTTTCCCTGGGGAGTTTCCTTCTTGAAGGCACTTCTCCAATGTCATGCCACTGTTGTGCAATGGGATGTCTTCCTGCAGGATTTCAACACCATGTGATTAAACACAGTCTTCATCCGTAGGGCAAAGGTCTTTATAATGAATACAAGTTGAATTTCAAGTTAAAGCATGACATAACACAGTACTATACATGTTAACCCTTCCAGAGTCAGGTTTCTCCATAAACAACTTACCTCCCAGATCTGATTTTTGT